GAAGAAGAGTGTCCGCCGCAGGCTCCGTAGCTTTCTCTCCTCGTGGATTCACTTAGACGTTGTGGACGCGCTCTCAGGACGCGCGTTCCCACTATTTACGTTCTCTCCTGAACCATGGAAAGAGAAGCGAAGAAATTTTCTTTTCTTGCTAAAGAATATCGCACGTGTACGTGGGTTTCAGCTTTTTCTACATATTCCCGGTGAACAAGAAAGCGTTCCAAGAAGGTTGAAACTTCTTCTGTTCCGATCATCTTTGAAGAGTAGGATAGGTTTTTTTTTTGTTTCTTGCTAAAGAATATTGCACGTGTACGTGGGTTTCAGCTTTTTCTACATATTCCTGAGTGAACAAGAAAGGAGTTCCAAGAAGGAACTGAAACTTCTTCTGTTCCCGTCATCTTTGAAGAGTCGGATAGTTTTTTTTTTGTTTGTGTTAAGACAACGCCTATATGAGAATCCATCTGGGACAAACTGATTTTGTTCACTTTTGAACTGTTCGATGTGATTTATGGTTTAAATAAATAAACTTTTGTAAATGATGTTTAGTTCTTCGAGAAGAAGAATAAACAACAGAATATGTTTCTTTATACAGGGTGTACCACCTAACCTTGAGCATCTTAAATATCTTGCTCATTTTTCATGATAGGAGGATGCCGAAAAAAATCATTCATTCAGTTTGAAAAGACAAATACTGTAATAAACAAGAACTTTTTGAATTCGTCTTGATCTTGCCTGTCATATTGCGAGGATAAAAATATGTACTTTCAGATAAAAAAATGACAATGACCTTGAAATTTTAAAAAATATGACCTTGAAAAAAATTTCTTGTTTATTACAGTAATTGTCTCCTCGAACTGAATAATGACCTTTTTCGGCATCCTCCTATCATAAAAAATAAGCGAGATATTTAGGATGCTCAAGTTAGGTGGGACACCCTGTATATGCGCTACAGGACTACAACCAGCGAGATAGTTGAAAAACTTTTATAGGATTTATATAATTGTTTTTTTTTTACTTATAGTTACTTTTTGATGTTGTCGCTGAAAAATAATAGAGAATTATTTCGAATAAGAACATTTGCAATCGAAAGATTTTGTACTCGACGATTTTTGCTTCGAAGAAAGAAAACAGCCTGCTTACAACGAGTAGAAACAACGTATCAACCTCCGGGTCCGAGTTCTCAGCTTCTTCGGACTGTTGTTGGACTCGTCAGCTCAGCTTCTCGGTGAACGTGAAGAAAGAACGTAGAACAATTCAAACCAGGTGCGAAGAAAACTGGAAGACGCGAAGAACGCCGGTAGTTTGTGACGATTTGCGTATCTGCGTGTGGAAGCCGTTCGGTTGAAAGGGTCAAAGGTGATAGGGGTCTGGTAAGGGGTACAAAATGCTAATAAGCCGTCCATTGTATTCGAATGCGATATTATGTCGCGACCGTTCTTTTTCTTGAGTGTGGACGCATGTCGAAACGATTCTTGATGTGGAGTAGCGATTTCTTTCTTTGGAAAAAAATAAAAAATAAAACAAGCGAGACGCGCTACTTCTGGGTCTTTCGCTGTTCCTCTCGCACTTATACAAAAACTTATTTGAAATTATAATCTCTAGCCGCGGAAGCGTTTCATAAATACATGGGAAACAACAACCTTGGTTTTTCGCGCGCACATCCTTCATATTAATTTTTATTTCATCCTCGACGTAGATAGTTTTTTTTTCTTTTTAATAATCGCTGATATAAAAAAATAAATGCAAAAAAAAAATAAAAAATAAAATAAAATTCGCCGAAAGATAAGTATAGACTTATCATTACGAACTTTTGACGCGCGATCGACCGTTTCTGCGAAGAAAACTTCATAAACAAGCAAATGAGAATGAATAGCGAGCGAATCTGTGCGTGTGTGTAAGCGTACGTAGAACGCGGGAATTACATTTTTAAATTTAGTCAATAATGTAATATTGAAAATTGAAAAAGCTTCGCGATATTTAATACAGATATAATATAATTCATTGAAATTTACATAAACGTTTTTCTCTTTAAAATACATTGAAATTTTTTTAGTGTTTTACAATATTTTCTCTTGTTGTCAAAAACCTGTTTTCAAATATTTAATAAAGTGGTAGTAATTTTATCGACACAGTTGTATATTTGCTCGACGAATATTTTATCAGAGAGATAGAGAACTCGATGCGAGTGGGTTTGGTTTGCAGAATATTTTCTGCACGCATGCTTTAACTTTATGCGGTTTTGTGCGTGTTTCAAAAGTTTTGAAATAGGAGGAGGTAAAAAAAAAAAAAAGAAAACGAAAAAAAAAACATTTGTTGTGTGTAAGCGACACGAATTCCTTGTCTTTTGTGCACAAAGCTGATACGTGTTTTTTTTTTGTTAAACGCGCTAGAAACGTCAAACTATAAATCTCGGTTGTCTGTCATTGATCGGCTGTTTGTTTCGTAAGCGTTATCGATCTTCCGTTAATGGAGAGCGGCGTTACGCGTATCGTATAAAATTATTTTTCGAACGAAACAAAATCAAAGAATAAAATAACATTCGAAACAACGATATAACTCAAGATTAAATATGAATAATAGCTGTCAGTTAATTGGTAGCGCTCAATTACAGAATTATATGTTACACGTGAGATGTGTACAATAGCGGCGATATTTTATCCAAGTGCAACTCTGTAGCAAAATTTAATTATGTCATATAAATATTTATATTGCGCGTTCTGCTTGCGCAATGATAAAACTACGCTACATATACGATGTGAGTTGCGGTTTTAATCAGTATGTTCTGGAACGTACCAATGTTGTTTATTTTTTTTATTATTTTAAATTTTATTTTTCCTCACTTTATCGCGTGAGTTTCCTGTTTACTTATGTGGTTTCGACAAGTTGGAAAGAACGGAGAAGCGCAATAATTTACAACACTATAGTTTCCTATTTTAAATGTCAAATGAACTTTGTAAATGAATGCGTAAACTTGCATACAAATGGTATTGTACAAAGAGTTTAGAATTACACTCATAGAAAATTACGGAATTTTAATCTGAAACAAAAGTTTTCTTTCAGAATAAAAACTTTACACGCAAACTTAAGTTATGTATAAGCCGCGCGAGCAGAGGAAAATAATAAATTCCACTCATAAAGTCTTTTCGCGTGCCTGCAAAACTTCTTTATTATAATATAAACTATATTCTCTCGGGAGCGCGCGCGCGAATGTTTTGTTCTTGTCTATTCGGCCTCTTGTCTCCGTGAGATGTTTCTCTCTCTCTCTCTTTCTCTTTGCCGATTGGTAAAGTCGTAAGACTTAAACTGACCTTCGAATATTACGTGAGTCAATAAGAGTGTTAATAGTCGTTCCTATAGCCATTCCACGAATGACGAAAAACATAATAAACATTAACACAAGAATAGTTGTGCGTGGTGAAATCAAGTTTTATTTCGCTAATTTCCAGAAAATTAGCTTACAAGTAATAAAAATAAGCTATAAAAAGTAACAAAATAAGATATAATTTGTTTGCATTGTATATAAATAAACACAGGAGTGTTTGAATTAACACGTTGAATCAGTAGAAATCAAATGTTTCCAAAACGAAGCTCAAAAATCGCTAGTTTTGCACAGTATATTAAATTGTTATTATTAAATAATCTTGTTAGTGTTAAATAATTTTTTTCGTAAAATTTGCGTCTTACTTAAGTGAGTAAAACTGTCACCTATAAGTAAAAAAAACTTGTAATCCGCCAATATTCGGATATGTTAATACAATTCTCAAAATTCACTTTACCGATAAACGATCCGATTTATGTTCTTTAGAATTAATAAAAATGGATCCAGACGCGTCTGGCTTGCGTTTTGTTTGCATCTGCCTTCATTCGATCGGCACTCAGCCCTGTCGGACTCCCGCAAGTCGCGCGAGCGGATTAGGAGATACGACCCGGACGATGCGATTACAAATGTAAATGCGCTAGTGCGCGACCAGACGTTTCCACTCCCACGTCGGCTTGATCCCCATCTTTGTTCATCGAGTTGACGGTAGTGGTGACCTCTTCGTTGCACGCGTCATCACCGATATATATATATATATATATATATAGTTATCGGTCATCATCATCGGTCGACCGAATCGGCCAGGTATTTTCAGGAATTAATGTAATTAATGCGCCGACTTGCCGTCCGGATATTAGTCCGCGTTTATTGATCGAAGATCGGTATGTAAACTACGGAGCGCGCGTGAAACAGCCGCGCGTATGAACATCAGAGAGAACCCCAAAAATTCCGAATAAATATAAAGCTGCGTATGACTCGGAAAAACTTTTCTCGAATCGTCGTCTCGTTATCTTCACACACACAATTAATAAGATACTTAAGAAGGTACTGGATATTAACTATAGAGATCTGTAAATCGACGTTTTAGAAACGTAAATTTCTCTAATTTCTAATTTGTTTTACCACATCACATGAAAAGCGCTTCTACAGAAGCAAACAAATATAAAAAAACTACATAGTGTTTCTGAAAATGGGTATATAATGCTCTTTTTTTCATTTAAATACAAAGATAGCATATGATAATCTATACCACGTCATCACGCGCGAGAATCGCTTTTTCTCGTCAACTACACATACCAATCATAATCTGGGTGTCTCATTAGATTCTTTTTTGTTGTACTTGTTGCGCTGTGAAAGTGTAAATATGTACATAAGCTTAGAAATAAATCTACACATTTGAATATATGGTAATGTTATAGAAGGAAACTCTGTATAAGAAAAAATTTATGTTGAATTTTGACATTTCAAAGAAAGAGCGCAAACTCTTAGCACAATTTACATTTTTCTGTAGAAACATTTTGGATTTGATGCAGTAAATATACGAAAAAACCAGAGAAAAATTAAAAACGTCGAGATTTTTACAGAGTACTCTATAGTCGGTATTCAGTACTCTCTCAATTTCTTTAACAAGTTTCTTGCGCACACATCTATACATGTAAGCAATACGTTATTTATATATACGTACTAGTAATCCATAATTTTCTTCTAGAGATAACTGTTTCGTCGTTTCTCTGAATTCCGTGCGTCTTCGATTTCCGCTTTAAAACTTCGAATGCAGTTCTGAAAAAGAAGAAGTAGAGCAAAATTAGAAGGAACGAAAATTACTTATGCTACAAAACTTTTTCGAAACGAAACCGCGAGATTGATTTTCTTTTCTTTTCGTTTTTCTCTGTGAATCGAACTTTTATTTCTCAATAACTGAATTATCTTAACGTGTGTTGTTAAAGATAAAGTCGGAGAGTTTGTTACAAGTCTCGATTGTCGAAGGAAATCTGGGTCGTTGCAAAATATCTTTGACTGAAAAACTATGTCAAGTCGTTACATCGGTTTTATTCATATTGTTCGTTACGGTGCTGCGACGGTATTCCTCGGTCGAGAATGCAATTAACGATACCGCGACTTGCAACGGTGTAAGTAGTAATGGAAGAAGCGGCAGTAGTTGAAAGAAGTGCCTCGCCTCACTGCGGAAAGAATTAACTGGCGAGCTGCAGTTAACGTTTCACCGGCGCGGTAGTTAAGAATAATACATAATACCCAGACCCTCCCCTCCCTCCCACCCTCCCTCTCTCTTTCTTTCTCTCTCTCTCTCTTTTTCTCTCTCTCTCGCGGAAGTCTGCCCATCGACGCGTTCAAGGAAATCACTTACGTAAGAACGGCTTAATTAAAATTGATAAACAGGCGGCAAACCACCCAGCAAACAGTTATGCAGCGGCTAAGTTTCCTTTAATTTGCTAATTAATACGTGTGTAATTTCGTGCCGCTTCGCTATATATATTCGTGTAAGAAAAACGATACGCACTCGAGAGATATACGTAAATTCGAATACGATAATAACAATCGACACTTATCGGTACTTCGTTTGTGTTTCTGACAGACCAACCTTTCTCGAACGAATGTCTTTCAGACGAACAATACTAAACCTATTATCTTAACAATTCTATATTTGATATCAACATTGTTATCGAGTATATTTTTTCCTGTTGTACCAAGTAGGAAGTGCATTGTGTTTCGAGTCTCCTGAGTGGACAAACTCTTTCTCTCTCTCTCGTTCGTGTCGAATGGACGACACGGGTGTGAAAGCGCATCGCAAAATGTCCAGTCGACAAAAGCTTTTTCGCGAAGTTTGTCGGTGGGCAGAAGAAACATGGACGGTGATTCTTTCTCTTTCTTTCTCTCTCCTTCCCGTCTCTTTCCTTCCTAGCAGAGCGTCAAATAATCTTATTAACCAAAGTGTATCTGATCGTTTAAAGTCTACCAGTGGTTTCGCTATCGCTACACAATGGTTCTGTTTACTCCCGTCCCGCCCGGTCCGCCGCTCGTCGTTTTGCATACTCGAATGGACCCGGGCGGAGTGCTCCCGAATCCATTAACTGACGGTTCGGGTCAAGTTTACTTAAGACCACGGCCCCGCCGCCGCGAATCTGCCAAGAAAGCAAAAAGCTTTATTAGACAGTGACAAAGTGAGAACGTCGGCTCCCACGGCGGAATCATAATGAGGAACGAAGAAGAAAGAGCCGGGTTTTTGATGAAAAATCGTCCCGCATCACTTGAGAATTGCTGATCACACAAAGCAAGATCGTATTCGTTTCGAACTTACACCACTCTTTTTAACAAGAATGTATTTTTGCGTACGTACAAAAGTTGTAGATTAAAAAGAATTACGAGTTCTTTTCAATCTTACCAGAATATTAAATTAAATATATTAGAGAATTTCAAAAAAAATAAGTAAAAGATCAATGCAAGCCGATATGCGGGATGTTGGTGCGTAAAAATGTAGTTTTGCAAAAAGTAAATCAGAAGTTTCGATCTGCGGATCGATAATGTTATGATCATGTTTATTATGTGGCGGTTTTTTGTATTGTTTTGAATTTTATTCAGTTAATATAATATTTTTGACAAATGAATAATCTATTTTGTTCTATCGCGTGCTGGTACGCACCTTATTATTTCTTTTTTGTTACTCACTGAAGAAAAAGATCCAGTCTATGAATCGAAACGTTTGATTTTCTTTTTTCAACAAAACTACGTTTTTTATACACCAACGTATTATATTGATTCCTACTGCTCTTTTTTTTTTACCTATTGTTACAATTTTTTTATTTTGTTAGAGAATTCATCTCAAGCGAAATCTGAAAAGCAACAAAGTTATAATGTTTTGTTGTGCAAATAAGAGAAATAATACTATATAGTAGTAGATACTAGTATACATATATAAATATGTATATAAAATTATAATTCTATATAGATATATATTTTTATACGACGAATAATGTCGTACATGCGATTGCGGGGGGGAACGCGCGGATGTAAATGTTGTGCGCGAAATAAGCGGTTGTTAACTGCGGTAAGCTCGTCTCTGCAAGCTTGTTGGGAAATTTAGCTTTGAGATATTTAGCTCTGGTAACTTCACGATGTAGTTTACTCGAGACTCGTGGTATTATGCGAGAAAGATCCCGGCAAACCCGCCGCGACGAGTACCTCACTCGCGACATCGATATACGGTACGGCTAACGAGGCATTTCAAAGCACGATTGTCTACATCAAAGTAGCACGATAAGGATCAAAGTTCTATCGAGAATCTCCTGCCCCCGTTGTCGTCATCGTCGTCGTCGTCGTCGTCGTCGTCGTCGTTGTCGCAGCGACTCTCATTTCCCATTGAGAGAGAGAGTCGCATACAAAATTACTCGGCATTGTCTTTCTCTCTTTCCGGCAACAGCTGGCGATTGTTGTTTAGCTCTCCGCGCTTATGTAGCGACATAAAATACAAGGTCGTATCTCTATTTTAGTTTCCGAATAAGAGAGAAAAAACAAAAAGAATCAAAATATAATATAATCAAGTAACTCTGTTCCCATTAATTTTTTTAAATATAGTTTCTACTGTAAATCGTACTAGTTGTACTTTAAATTACTTTAATTAAGATTGTTCTAATAGGGAGATAAAATGAATTTATATACATATGTGTGTGTGTGTGTGTGAAATGCAAGTCAAGCATCTCGAAACTTAGATGAATTGACGAATTGTATTTCATTCGAATTTCTACGTGTGCGAATTTACACGTTTAAAAAATATATTTCACACATCCAGCATATTGGCTCACATTGATCGTAAACTCTCTGCTGGTTAAAAACTATATGAGCTTAAAATTTGTTGTGTTAAAAAATTCTATATTTTTCTCGAAAACCTAAAAATCCGAGGCTTTAATAGTGAGTTTTGTTTTTTATCAATTTTTAAATGCCTTTCGCAATACAAAAAACCTGTGTATTGCAACGAGTCGTTGTTAAGAAATAAAATTTTTATTTGGCATTTTTTTTTGTTTCTTGGAAAATGTTTCTTTGACCGTGGCGTAATCAAGCGGAAGTATTTCCAAGCGGATCTTTAGTCGTCTGTGGATCGCCGATCATGCGACAACCGCCAGTAAAGTCAATGTTTTCGGAACGGATGGACATGAAGATGGAGTAGCTGGGGACAGACGAAGACGGAAATGTAGACAGAGATGAAAGCTGTTACCATGGCGACCATGAAGAGGAAAGAGAACAGCAAGTCGAAGCGAAAGAGCAAAAGAGAGAAAGAACGACAAGGGGTGAATGAAGAGCTACGATACATGGGGTGAACCGGGTGAGAAAGAGAGAGAGAAAGAGAGAGAAAGAGACTCTCGGAAAGAACGAAAGAGAAGTTACGATCTGAGGGATGCAAAGCGAGAGAACGCGAGAGTAAAAAACGCGACGAAGGAGACAGGACTCTGGAGAGAATAAATGAGAAGATACGACTCGGAGCAGACACGAAGAAAGGCCGAAGAAAAATATAGAAAAAGTCGGCAAGACAACTACGACGAGATGGGTAAGGCAAGTTTATAGACGTCAAAGCGCGGTGGTAAAAGTAAGACACAAGTCATAAGAGATGTATGTGCGAGAGATTCGGCGAATGTGCTTGTGAATTACAGAAGAGAAGAAAAAGTTTGTACAAGAAAATATATATATATATCTCTAAAAAAGAAAGATGCAAAGAAAAATGCGATTCGAATATCTCGTTATCTCGCGTACAATTGTTAACAACAAGTACAAATGGATACAAATTGGTGTTTCTTCTCAACACACCGTAGTATTTTTATATCGTTGATTCAAGTCCGCGCATTGTTCATCGAAAGATTCTCAAAAAAAAAAAAGAAAACGCGACAAAACGCGTAGAAACTCAATTCACACGAGCCAATTTCTCTTTTATCGTCCAAACGTTCCCGGAAGGAAGAGACTGCTCATTTTAACCCTTCCGCCTTTGACTTCAAAATATGTAGACCGGTTCCGCCAAAACTAGACAGAGATGGATACGTACGAGCCAGAATGGGACGACCGTCGAAAAACGGGGCACGAGGAGGAAACACCGAGAAGGGATGGAGAGGAACGCCCGGGGAGAGTTAGAGACGGCTGACTGGGAAAACTATTACTCTCCCTCCCGCCGTCTTCACCCCCCCGTTCGCGGGAAAGAGGGTTTGAGTCCCGAGTGATGTTAATTGCGCCGCTACCGCCAGCAGGCAATATGTATTCGAGGAACGCTCGAAACGTTCGAACGAAGACGACTTGTGGATGCCACATATATATATATATTTGCTCCATCTCTTCGCGCGCGCGTTCTATCCTGTTGGAAAAGTGACGCTTCTGGGACGAATATCCCGCGCGCGCGCGCGACCGAGAAACGGACCGAACTTTTGGCGTGCGATGGCAAATATCGCGGCGACGCGACGCGACGATGGATACGCGTGTCACGAGTTTCGATGGGTGGTCGGCGCCATTTGTATGGTAATTCTTGGCGGAGAACTATGCTCCGTCTAATTTGCGGAGCTTCGCACGAGATATCGGTTCTGTGACGCGGCGAGAAGTTTACGTCAACGAGATATCGCACCGACGGAAAGTCATGATAGCGCGCGATATTCATCGCTCGGAGGCAAAAATGTTGAAATTTTCTTGCTCATCGATATTTTCGCGCGACACATACTCTCCCTCCCTCCGTCTCTCTCTCTCTCTCTCTCTCCTGCGAAACAAGCGCCGTAACGTCATCTTATTTTCCG